GCCCAGGGGTTCAGCGTGACCCATTTTCTCCGGCTGGATGCTTTGATTCTGGTACTACATCTCTGCTGCTGAACTGAAGCTGCCCTCAGGGTCGCAGACTTGGGGGGGGAGGGGGAGAGGGAAGGAGCCTCCTGCCTGGGAACCACCTGCTAGCAGGAAGCAGCCTGCCCTTTTCTGTATGTAAGAAACAAGTGCATAGAGCTGGCGCTGTGCGCAGTGGGTTAACGCCCTGGCCTGCAGTGCCTGCATCCCATATGGGCGCCCGTTCTAGTCCTGGCTGCTCCTCCTCCAATCGAGCTCTCTGCTGTGGCCTGGGAGGGCAGTGGAGGATGGCCCAAGTCCTTGGGCCCCTGCACCCCATGGGAGACCTGGAAGAAGCTCCTGGCTCCTGGCTTCGGATTGGCTCAGCTCTAGCCGTTGCAGCCATCTGGGGAGTGAACCAGCAGATGGAAGACCTCTCTCTCTCTGCCTCTCTCTATAACTCTGTCTTTCAAATAAATAAAATGAATCTTTAAAAACAAAACAAAAAAGCAAGTGCCCACCCAGAGACTCGCGTGTAGGAACCAGCTGAGCATCAGCACCCCGTTCCCGGGCCAGGCCCCAGCGCGCCATCCTGTGGTCAGGGCACGGGCCTGGCTTGGGTGCCGCAGCCCCCACTTGGCTTCCTGGCGAGGGTGTGGCTGCTGAACGATGATGACAAACGATGCCACCCACCTCCTGAACTTTCGCCAACGCACTGAGCCTCTGACCTTCTTCCCATGCCTGCACAGGGCCCCGTGGCCTGGAGAAGGGCGTGTGCTCTGCTCTGCTGCCAGCCAGCAGGCCTGGGAGGAGCAGTCAGGGCGAGGCAGGCACGGCGGGGGCGGGCAAGAGCCGGGGGCCGCAGTGAGGGTGGCTGCTCTGCCCGAGTGACGGGAATTGGCCGGGGTGGCTCTAGGAAACAAGGGGTCTGTAATGAGGGGAGTGGAGCGACCCCTGTGTGGGGTTCCTGCCTTCCGTGAGAGGGGCCGGCCAGGGAAGGCTCAGGCCGGGCAGCCTGCTGTGGACAGGGCGTGGCCGTTGTAGAAGCGTGGGAGTGCTTGAGAGAGGAGCAAGTATAACCACCCCAGGTGATGCACAGGAAATAGCCCTGCTGGAGTAGGGGCTAGCACCTGGGGCACACAGGGTTGCAAGGCCAGGGCTGCGAGGTGAGAGTGGAGGAAACGCTCACCCCCTCTCCCAGGCTCTCCTGCTGGGGTCAGTGCAGAGCTTAGTACCTCTGGCTGGGGGTGGGGGGACGAGAGAGGGGAGGGTGTGTGCCCTGATCACCCGGGTCTAGCTCTGCTCCCACCTGGGTGGTTCCCTGACCTATTGCAGAGCCTTTTAGGGGTTGAGTGCGAAGGGCCCGTGGGGTTATGTGGACCCTCCCATCAAGGTGTAGGAAGCAAATGCACGGCTTGGTTTCCATCTTCCTGCAACGCTGTTTCTTGTACTGGAGGCAGGCCAGCTTGGGATTTGGGCGAGGGCACAAATCCTCTCTCTGAACCTGTCTGTCCCTGCTATACCGGGAATGTGGGGTGGGCGTTGTGGTGCAGTGGGTTAAACCTCTGCTCGGGACACCCTCGTCCCATGTCAGAGGGGCAGCTTGAGTCCCAGTTCCCCTGCTTCCCACTTGCTCCCTGCTGACGCACCCTGGAAGGCAGCAGACTTGGGCTCAAGTGCTTGGGTCCCTACCACCCATGTGGGAGGCCTCTCTCTGTAACTCTGGGTGGGATTCCAGGCACCTGATTTTGGCCTGGTCCAGCCCTGGCTCTGGTGGGCATTTGGGGAGTGAACCACTGAATGGAAGAACTCTCTCACCTTTTCTCTTTTTCTTTGTCCTCTGCCTTTCAAGTAGAAGAAAATAAGTAAACACATTTTTTTTTTTTTTGACAGGCAGAGTTAGTGAGAGACAGAGAGAAAGGTCTTCCTTCTGTTCGTTCACCCCACAAATGGCCACTACAGCCGGCGCACTGCACCAATCCGAAGCCAGGAGCCAGGTGCTTCCTGCTGGTCTCCCGTGCGGGTGCAGGGCCCAAGCACTTGGGCCATCCTCCACTGCCTCCCCAGGTGCATGAGCAGGGAGCTGGATGAGAAGGAGAGCAGCTGGGGCTCAGATCCACGCTCATATGGGTGCTGATGTCACAGGCAGCGGCTTAACCCCACTGCAGCACAACACTGGCCCCAAACTTTTTTTTTTAAAGTGAGAACGTTCTTCTAGGGTTGGTCATTGGTGAGGATTCAGTGAAACGGGACAAGTGTTCAGAAAGTTCATGAAAAACCTATGTGTGAATTTCAAAAAAAAAAAAAAATTCTTAACTAAAATAAACTTAGCTTTTACTTCCATTTTGCCATGAACCTTTTGAAATACCCTCATCTATGCAATAATGATGGCAGGTATTGCACTTGGACCAACCAGTATGTTAGGTAGCAACACACACACACACACATACACACACAATTTCTAGTTTTTACATCAAGTGCCTACTGTGGCACCTGGCGCATAGTGGGTGCTCAGCACGACAGGCCTCACATCCCACCCCTCTGCAGGGAGGGAGAGGTAGGACTTCTGGAGAGGAGCGAGGCTCTGGGTGAGAAACAAGGCGAGAAGTGTGCTGAGGGCCCGACCCTTGCTCCGTGTTGCAGGGTGCTGGGTCTCCCTCCCCGAGGTCTCCCTGCCACTCTCACCTCCTCCCCGGCGGTGGCCAGCGTGTCCTCTGAGTGCTGCCAGTCTGCTCCTGGGCAGAGGCCCTCAGCGCCAGGAGCACAGGGCAGGGCGGGACTGAGCGGCCCCCGCCTGCAGCCCGGAGGCCAGGGCTGACCGGAGCCACTTAGTCTTCCAAGCAGGCCTGTCCGTGGCGCTGCACCAGCCTGCAGCCCTCGCCCCCGGCCCCCCCTGTTGCCGTCTCCCCTGCCTCCCACCACAGTCAGTAGGTGCCGGTGGAGGGGGAGATCCGTAGCGTGGGCTCCGCTCCCGTCGTCAGCTGTGCCTTCGTCTGCTACCTGCACAGAGAGATGCCCTTTACTTCTCCCCGGCTGGGGACCAATGTCCTCCTTAGCACCCTGGGGAGCATCCATGAGCAAGGGACTCCTTGGACAGAACTGCAGGGACAGGGTCGCACTGTCGATGACTTGCTGGCACGGGGCGTGACGCTCTAGTCTAGGGAGCCCAGCTGCAGGTTGGGCTGTCGGGAAGGGCAGGGTCTGGGTCGTGGGCATCTCGGGAGTGGATGAAAGCGGCACGGGGACTGTTCCGCTCTCCCGGGTCCAGGACTGGCGTAGCTGATTCCGAGAGAGAGAAAGGAAGGGCAAGAGCTGGCTCCTCCTCTCAGTGGGGGTGGGAATCTCCTGTGCCCTAGAGGTGCCAGCATCGGAAAGGGCCTCTTGGGTGTCTGTCAGAGAACGCAGGGGTCCAGACTCAGGAGAGGAGTGAAGCGGCACACGGACGGCATGGGGCAGTCACAGCTGCTGACTTGCCAAAGACCAGCCCACTTTTCTTTTTTTTAAGATATATTTATTTATTTGAAAGAGTGACAGAGAGAGAGGTCTTCCATTCACTGGTTCACTCCCCAGATGGTCACAACTGCCAGGACTGCGCCAGGCCAAAGCCAGGAGCTGCTTCCGGGTCTCCCACACGGGTGCAGGGGTCCAAATGCTTGGACCATCTTCCACTGCTTTCCCAGAAGCATTAACATGGAGCGAGATTGGAAGTGGAGCAACCGGCACTCAACAGCGCCTGCATGGGATGCGGGTGCTGCTGGCTGCGGCTTTACCCACTGTGCAACAAGACCAGCCCCCAAGACCAGACCACTTTTGATCTCCGTGGAGCTGTTTTCCCCTGTAACGTGGGGGTCCCCGCAGTCCTCCCTAGAATTCACACGGCATTGCCTTCCCATGCCGTCTGGGATGACATCTCTCAACTTTGGAAGGAAAACCTTAAAATGGGCTTGTGGGCAGACGGCGTCACGTGGGGACGCAGTGGGAGAGCTTGCTGCTCCCTCCTCTCCTCGCTGGGCTGGCAAAACGCTAGAAACGGGGAGTGAGCACATACCTCGCCCGCCCGGAACGCCCATGCCGAGGGACTGACCCGGCCTGGTGTTCCCTGGCATCCAGCCTGGCCTGGCTAGGGCAGCGGCGGCGCCGTGAGTGTCTGCGGGTTGCTCTTGGGCAGTTGCCTGATAAGGTCAGGGGCCAGGCAGTGGCCGGCAGTGGCGGGGGATGCACATCCAGCTGGGCTCAGAGCACGCAGGGAAGCCTGGGCAGTGACGGGGACTCCTGCAGAGCCCACCCTGCGCCCAGCCCGGCCATGCGCCCACCCTGCTGTGTGTGGGCCCCTGCATCAGCCCGGAGCTGCCACATTCCTCGCTGTCTCCGAGTGTGGAGCCCCACCCGTTTGCACCTTAGGTGACTTCCCCATCACCTGCTTTTGTGCGTGGAGGGCCCTCTCCTCTCTGGTGGCCAGAGGGACCCAGACCCTGTCAGTTCTTTTCCTCTAGTGATCCAGTGGTGACTGTGAACGGATCTGCCTTGGGATTTTTCCCCTTCCTGGAGTCGGGGGGAGGGGAGGGAGTGGGAGCTGCCCTGCTGAGCGAGCGGGGGCGGCACATGAGCACGCAGGAACCGCCCTCTGCTTGTAGGTAACAGCGGCTGGAGAGCAGGCCAAGCTTTATCCCCGCCCTTGAGCGTCCTGAGCCAAACCCTGGGCACCTTTCCTCAGAGAATCCCCAGCCCCATTTCTGCCGGTAGCCTCATTCAGCGAAGGCTGGGGCTCCTCTTCCCCCTGCATTCGAGTTGGGAGGACCTGAGCTGCAGGGAGGCAAGTGTTCACTTAGAGGTGCCTGGGAGGCAGTGCACCCAGCTCTGATGCGCTCCTGGATCATCAACCAAAGAAGCTTAAATGAGGGCCTACTGTGTGCAGGCTCTCCTCCAGGCACAGGGCACAGAGCAGCCAGCGAGACAGACCAAACCTTTCTCTGGGGGCCTTGGCCGTGGCAGCCATTTGGGGAGTCTGTCTGGGCGTCCTGCAAGCTCTGAGTCCTGCCCACTGAGCCAACCCCCCACCCTCCCTGCGCATTCGGGAAGGGGGCTCCTTGAGGACAACTCCTGCTCCTGTCCCAGGAGCCCCGAGCAGTGCCCGGGCACTCTCTGGGGTCAGATGGAGACCCCCTTCCTCGGCTGGAATTCAGCTGCTTTCTGCTTCCTTTCCAGAAAGCAGGGGAGGAAAGGCCCGGGCTCTCCCTGGAGAGGGAGGCCCTGCACAGCCGTCCCGTGAGGGTGGGACGGATATTCGAACCAGTTCAAGATCCGGAATGGGAAAATGCCTGACCCTGACTTCCTGGACTTCCCAGGAGGAAGGCCGGGGCGGCCTGCCTGTGCTCCGAGCATCTACTGGAGCCAGCACGCGGGCTCCCTCCTGCTCAGTCTTCGGACACTCACCCTGCTGCGTGGCATCAAGGCCCGGGGGTGGCCCCACGGGGGACCGGCAGAAGGGAGCGACACAAGGGCCGGCAGCAGGGCAGCCTGGGGCCCGGGCTGCTGCTGTGTTCCAATAAACACAGAGGAAGAACTCTCCTACTCCTAAGAGCCTCGATTAGAAACCACAAGGACTGGGTGCGGTGTTATGGAACAGGGGGTAAAAGCCATCGCCTGCCGCACCAGCATCCCACGTGGACGCAGCTTCCTGTCTCGGTAGTTCCACTTCTGACCCAGCTTCCCTGCTAAGGGCCTGGGAAAAGCAGAGGAAGATGGCCCAGGTGTTGGGCCCCTGCCACCTATATGGAAGACATGGAAGAAGCTCCTGGCTCCCGGCTTCAGTCTGGCCCAGCCCTGGCCACTGTGGCTATCTGGGGGAGTGAAGCAGTGGATGGAGGATCTTGCTCCCTCTCTCTCTGTAACTATTTCAAATAAATGAATCAATCTCTTTTTTTTTGTTTCTTTGTTTAATGTCGTTTATTTGAAAGAAAGAGAAAGAGAGATATCTCTTCTATGCACTGTTTCACTCCCCAAATGTGTGCAACAAGTCGGGCAGGGCAGGGCTCAAGCCAGGAGCCTGGAACTCCATCCAAGTCTCCCTCTTGGGTGGCAGGAGTCCAGGTACCTGGGCCATCATCCGTGGCCTCCCAGGGCGAGCACTGGCCGGAAGTGGAGCCAGGCCTTGAAGCCGGGTGCTCTGATATGGCAGGTGGACTGCACCAAACGCAGCCCCAGACCCTTCATTTTTCTACAGCTGAGTTCTACCGCAAAGTCCCACGCCCGCCTCAGGAAGCTCAGGGATCTGCCTGTGCGCAAGCATGGTTAGAGGGGAGGCCAGGAGATTTTGACGTGCGGCCCCCGATGCTTTCACCCCGGAAGACGGAGGCGATTCGAGGACTTGGGTGAGGAGAGGGGAGGGGAGGCTTAGGGCAGCTGGGAGCCACCGTGGGTGCTCGTCCCGTCTCACACAGAGGAGAGGGGTCTGCTGGGCGTGCAAACGCGTGGGGAAGGCACGTGGCTACTCACCTGGCCCCACAGGAGTTCTCCGATCCCAGAGAAGAGACACCACAGCCACTGCGACAGGCTGAGCTTTGTGCAGCTGAAGGGCTTGCCCCCAAATTCCACAAGGAGAACCTAGAACAGAGAGCAGGCGGCCCTCTAGGCAGGGCCCCAGACGCCAGGGCTCCCCCTGCCCTCGCCAGGAGTTCTGGTTGGCTCGCTGAGGGAGGAGAGGGAAGCCTGGAAGGGGAGGTGGGGAGGCGGGGAGGTGGGGAGAGGGGAGGCAGGGAGAGTCCACAGAGCAGCTGGACGGGCAGGCAGGCACACGTGCTGTGCTCGTGACTCCTGTAAGGTCAGAGCAGAGGCATGGGGGCGTCCTGGGGCTAAAGCCAGTGGGCGACCAGGAGAGTGCACAGCATGGAGGAGGGGCAGTGAGGGAGGGACCCTGCTGAGGCTGTGGCTGGACAGGGGGCTCCCAGTTCCTGGTACCCCCAGAGGGCAAGGAGGAAGCCTACACCTTGCTCGCACGCACGCTACGTTGCCAGGAGGCACGGAGGTGGGCTGGAACAGTCTGACTGTCCCCTGGTCACTCTGTGGAATGGACGTGTACTTAGGAAGGTAACGAAAGGATAAATCTTGTTTTATTTGCATGCAACACGTTGCCTTGCGCTGGAGCACTGGGCACACTGGGCTCCCGTTCTAGAGCAAGGTGCGCGTGGAGGTAAACTGGGAGCCCCAAGTGCTTGTCCTGCGGCCGCAGCCCCACCAGCTGCTCCCTTACTCCCTCTCCGAAGTACTTAGGGCGTCCTGGCTCCCAGCCTGTGGTCCCCGCCCCCGCCCGGCTCCCGATGGGCCATCACCTGGCTGATGAACGTGCCCAGGACCACCGAGCAGAAGATGAGGTTGTGGTAGATGCCGACGAACACGTTCCTCTCACCCTGGATCTTGCGGGAGTTGATCTCGATGAAGAGCTGCATCAGCAGGAAGGTGCTGAAGATGATGGTGTAGTGCTGGCTGGGTGGCGAGTGGAGCGGGGCCTTCCTCCCACTGTGGATGTGGAAGAACTTCTCACCTATGGGGCGAGGGCAGGCTGAGTGGGAACACGCTGGCATGGCTACCCAGGGAGCTCATGGCTCGTGTGCACCCCAGGTGGGCAGCAGCTGAGCTGTCCTGGCTCCTGCCTACTTTAACAGCCAGCCCTGCACTCAGCCTGCCTGCCTGGAATCTCTCGTTTGTTCCATTGTATCTATCTGCCTTCTGGTGAAAATGAAGCCGACCACAGTAGGGCTGACATAGTTTTGCATTTTAGGGCCCCTACAGACTCGTCCTAGACTCATCGTCTGTATGACCTGAGCCACAGTGTTCTCCCGCGATGGAGAGGTATAAAAACCCACCCTTGTGAAATTCTTCAGTGCGCCGGGCAGCGGCAAGGCAGGCAGTGCTCAGCAGGAGGCGCCATCACTCCGGATCTGTGTCACCCTCTTTCCAGGGGCCATTCTTGGCCTCCATCTCCCTCCAGCACCCCCACCGCTGCCCCAGCCCCCGGCCCCGGCTCACCAGCAAAGACCAGGAAAAAGATGACGGCGAGCTGATAGACGGCGTGGCCCAGGATGTTCTTCATTATGGTCCGCGAGATCAGGGGCTTGTTGCGGCCGTGGGGCGCCGCCTCAGCAGCGCGTCGGTGGGGGGCTCGGTGGCCAGGGCCAGAGAGGCGAAAGTGTCCATGATCAGGTTCACCCACAGCATCTGCACGGCTTTCAGTGGGGAGTCCTGGTGGGAGGAAGGTGCGGTCCCTTCAGCTTGCCCCAGGAGCGGCCCCTGCCCACTCTGGAGACCCCCTAGCGCCCTCGAGCTGGGTGGCCTCGCTCCCACTGTCCACCTAGACTTCTAATCTGGCCGTGCTGTAGAAATGCACCTAACCTCCGGGCCGCAGATGGGGCTGGCGACACCGCCCTGGCACGGCTGTTCTTGGAGAACAGACATGGTGCACCCTCGTGTTGGTGCCCACGGTGCTGGTCAACACATCAGAGCTATGAAGGGTGGACAGTTTACCTTCACTGGAGACAGTCGGCCCGGGGCTCCGACATCGTGGGGCCGCCCAGTGTACGGTGCTTCCCGGCCCCTGCCATGTCTCCCTCATCTGAGCCCACCCCAGGCCCCACTCACCTGAGTGATGCAGGCGCCCGTGAAGGCCACGATCATGGCCACCACGCTGACGGTGAGCTGGAACTGCAGGAACTTGGAGATGCTGTCATAGACGTTCCGCCCCCACATCACGGTCTTCACGATGCTGGTGAAGTTGTCGTCGGTGAGGATGATGTCCGAGGCTTCCTTTGCCACGTCTGTGCCTGCAATCCCCTGGGTGGGGGGGGAGGCGGGAGGGAACCCAGTGAGGGCCCGGGCACCTCCTGAAGCCAGACTCCACCTCCTGATGGCCAAGAAACTTCCAAGCTGGGTGTGAACACTGGAGGGCGCCCCAGAGGAAACCCGGGCAGGGTTTCAGGGGTGACATGCTGTGCCAGGGTCCCTACAGAGAGGGGCCGAGAGGGAGGGAGCCCATTCTCCCTGCCTAGGCCTGTTGGGAGCACAACTACGCAAAAGCAAAGTGGCTCGATGGCTTCACGGAACCTGATGTGCAGCCCTAGCAAATATACCTGTGGGGGGAAGACCTGGAAAAGGCAGCCAGCTGGCTTTAGCTGACTCAGTGGATCAGTATTGTTACTGCTGTTTGGAAACGATGACATATATTTTAGGATAAAGCGAATGATGATTATGTTAATGCCACGACGAGTCAAAGTGTGGAGGGTATGACATACAAATATAAAACCAGGGGGAGTCAAATAAAACAAGCAGGGTAGAAACTGGGAAGTGACAATTCTCTCTTCTGAATGTGAAGGGGAGCTCTTTTTTTTTTTTTTAAACTTGAATAATTCTTGAAAATAAACAAGGGCAAAACCCAACAGGAGACAGTAAGAGCGTAACTCTTGGCTTTGCCTCCGAGAAAGCCTGGAAGCAAGGAACACCCTCTGGCTCCGGCTCTGTTCCCCACTGAACGGGAGGGGGACTCCCAGGAGAAGCGTGTGACGCCAGGCGCAGGCTCAGGCATCTGAGCTAAGGCCTGGAGAGAGCTGTGGGGGCCCCGCAGTCAGTGGCACAGGGGCTCTGCGATGCTGAGGGGGCTTCTCCTGGCTGAGGGTGGGGCAGCCTGAGCGCCAAACACACACGAACACAATGGAGAGAAACACACCGGCTACGCTTAAACCCACGAGGCTGTAAAATCATGCTTAGAAAAAAGCTCATCAGTCACCCTTGGAGGTTCCTAGGAAAACCAACTCGTCATCTTGAAAACTGGGGAGAGGAATATCTAAGCTGCCTTTCACGTAGGAACTGAACCACACAGTAAGCTTGCTTTGTATAGAAGCAAAGCAAATAGTTATTAATAGAAGTAAACCCATCAAATTACGATATTATCCTTTCACAGCCCCTAATGAGAGGAGGGATCTAGAATCTGATTGCTTCTGGAACTACTCACAGGAATTACAAGAGGTGAGGGGAAATGTAAAGGGACATTCCAGGGATAAGACCAACTAAATCCACACTGTGGGACAGCCTGTGTAGACAAGCAACAGTTCCTTCAATGCTGAATCGCTGGGGGAAAAGGAAGGGAGGGGTTGTGTAGGAGCTGACATCACTGGCCCGGGACTGCTGTCCTTAGATAGGCCCATCTGCAAGGCGGGCGCTTGGCCAGCGTCCAGGAGCCTGGCTCTCCGAATGCTGGCAGTGAGTTAGCTGGCAAGGGAGGCGCGCTGGGTCTAGGCCGCGCCCAGACCCCATGCTTCATCTGAACACCTGCTTCCCCCCCGGGGGCCTGCGGTTCTGGTGCTTGCCAGGCAGGAGGGGCCTATGTGACCAGTCCTAAAAGAACTGCGTGTGCAGAGACCGGGATGGGCTGCCGGGGGCGGAAACATCACACACGCACGTTGCGGGGTTTCTGCAGATGGCGGGAAGAGGGGACTCCGGGAGATGCCCCGGGAGGACAGGGCAGCCAGGCCTGGGTCCCCACACCCTGCCAGGCTCCTCCCCACGTCACTGGCACCATCTTTCTGTTTATTTAAAATTTATTTATTTTTATTTATTTGAAAGGCAGAGTGACAGAGAGGGAGAGGGATTGGGATAAGGAGAGGGAGGAGAGTTTTTTTTTAAAAAAAGATTTATTTATTTGAAAGGCAGTTACAGAGAGGCAGAGAGAGAGAGAGAGAGATCTTTCATCTGCTGCTTTACTCCCCAGATGCCCTCAACGGTCAGAGCTGGGCTGATCTGAAGCCTGGGGCCAGGAGCTTCCTCCAGGTCTCCCACGTGGGTGCAGGGGCCCAAGGACTTGGGCCATCTTCTATTGCTTTCCCAGGCCACAGCAGAGAGCTGGATCAGAAGTGGAGCAGCTGGGACTAGAACCAGTGTCCACATAGGATGTCAGTTGTCAGTACTACAGACAGCGGCTTTACTCGCCACACCAAGCGTCATCCCCAGAGGGAGAGAGACAGAGAGACAGAGAGATCTTTCACCCACTGGTTCATTTTCCAAATGCCCACAGCAGCCAGGAACCAGGTGGAAGCCAGGAGCCATGAGCTGCATCCTGGTCTCCCGAGTGGGTGGCAGGGACCCAAGCACTGAAGCCATTATTTCTGCTGCCCCCCAGGTGCACGTTATTACCAAGAAGCCAGAGTGGACGGGGAGGTTAGATTTGACCCCAGGTTCTCTGGTATGGGAAGCAGGTGTCCCAAGCACAGGCTCAACACCCTGAACCACAACACCTGCCTCAGGCTATAATAAATTTTTTTAAATTTTTATTTTATTTATTTGAAAGGCAGAGTTAGAGAGAGGGGGGGGGGGAGACACACACACACACACACACACACACACACACACAGGTCTTCCACTCACTGGTTCATTCCGCAAATGGCTGCAATGGCCAGGGCTGGGTCAAGAGCCAGGAGCTTCTTCTGGGTCTCCCAGGTGGGTGGAGGGACCCAAGCCCTTGGGTCGACCTCTGCTTACTCAGGTGCATTAGCAGGGATCTGGATCAGAAGTGGAGCAGTTGGGACTCAAACCAAGCCCTTATGGGGTGCTGGCATCGCAAGCGGTAGTTGTACCCACTGTGCCACAATGCCGGCCCCTGCAGTAAATCTTAACCACGAGTACAACCATATGCTGAGTCCTAATGAGTACATGAATACAAGAGTGGTCTTTGGGACGCTCGACACAGGATTCCACAGGATTGGTGGTTCTCAACTTTTGAGTGCATCAGAATCAACGAGAGGGCTTTTACAGACACATATTTCTGGGGCCAGGGTTGTGGCACAGCACATTAAGCCACTGCCTGTAATGCTGGTGGTTCGAATCCCGGCTGCTCCACTTCCAATCCAGCTCCCTGCTAATGTGCCTGGGAAGGCAGCAGGCAATGGCCCAAACACTTGGATCCCTGCCACACACATGGGAGAAAAGGATGGAGATCCTGGCTCCTGGCTTCAGCCTGGCCAGGACCTGGCTATTGCAGCCATTGGGGGAGAGAACCAGCAGATGGAAGCTGTAGACTGAGACGTGAGTGATGATCTTTACTGGATTGTGATTTGGACAAATAAACTACAAAAACAACACTTAGGAGCCAGATGGGGCAACGCGAGCAGACTGGCCACGTGATAGTAAGGCAATAACGGCGTTATCTTTCCTTTAGACACATTTTATGGACACACACTCATCATGAAGGGACATGGTCTGGAATTTTTATGGATGAAATGACACTGATGTGTTGGCTTGGCTTCAAAATAGTAAGTAAGCTGGGAGCAGGCTGCTGGCCTCGGAGCTGCGCCGGCCGGTCCCCCAGCAGAGCACCTCTGGCTCCCAAGTCCGGCTTCCTGCAAAGCAGACCCTGGAAGGCTCGACCGACCGCCTGGCTGCTGCCACCTGTGTGGGAGACCTAAACGGGGCTCCTAGGGCCCAGCTGTGGCCTCCTCCAGCCCTTGTTGGTGCAGGCATCTGAGAGTGAACCAGAGGACGGGTTTTCTCGCTCTGCCTCTCAAAGTAAATAAATAACAATAATAATAATAATAAAAACCTCAGGTGTGGACAGTGGAAGTGGGTGGGACTGGCCACGTGTGGATCGTTGAAGCTGCCAGACAGATATAGGGATTCGCTAGCCAACTCTGCTTTTCGGCGCACGCTCACACGGAACACGGCTGTAGCCCAGGCACACGGTGCACGCTCACACGGAGCACGGCTGCAGCCCGGGCACACGGCACATGCTCACACGGAACATGGCCTTTCTATAGTCTGCCCAGGCGGACATCACCATGTTTCAGTTGCTCTTGCTGTCCCGGGTCACGATCCTCCGTGACTTCCCTGCCTGTCCCTGATCCGTCAAGCCTGGCGGGTCTCCCGTCATACGTGTTAGCAGTGGCCAGGTAGGTGGGTGGGAGAGACGTGGTCAGGGGAAGGAGCACACAGAGGAACAGGAAGCAGCCGGCCACCGGAAGCGTGTCCCGGCCTCCCGACGGGGACGGCGGCTTGCCATGGGACAGGGACACCGCGCTGACCTTACCATGGCAAAACCAACGTCTGCCTTCTTGAGGGCCGGCCCATCATTTGTGCCATCACCGGTGACAGCCACCACCTGCCGCTGGTCCCCAACGGTGCTGTCAATGATTCCTGAAAAGCACAGACACGCGCCCCGGTGAGCTCGAGGCTGCCTGGCGCTGCCTCCCCGCCCCCGCCCCCGCCCCCGCACGCCCCTCTCCATCCTCTCTCCCTTCCCCCTGCTGGAAGGAACCTCCCAGGGCTGTCAGCTGCGGCTGGGAAAGGCTGTCCTGTGCCGAGAGGAGAACAACACGGGAAGGATCTGAAGGCAGACAGCTGGGAGTCGCCTGCGCCACTCTCCCCAACGAGTGGGCAGGCTGGGAGGGGTCCTGTCTCCTTGGCCTCACACGTCCCTTGTTGTATCCCAGAAGTGGCCCTGCCCTGACCCGTTCCCAGGGCTACCAGCAAACAAGACGTGAGCAGGCTTCAAAAACCCAACACAGCCGCAGGATCTGCTCGGCCACCCAGGGCTCGGCTGCTTGCTCTCCCCATCCGCCTGGTGCTCTCGGGACAGGAGACAGCCCCCTCCTGCCTGTGGCCGCCGGCACCAGCTCACCTTTCACCAGCGTGTGCTTGTCTGTGGGCGAGGACCGGGCCAGGACCCGAAGCTTGGGCCAGATCTTGTCCAGCTTCTCTTGTTCTACCTGCCAACGCCAGACACACCGTGGCTCAGCCAAACACGCAAAACCACCTGGGAAGATCTGTCTGTGCCACACACGCCGAGCTCTGAGAGATCTGGAGCAGACAGGGAGCGCTTCTCCCCGCCCTGGAGGAGGTGACGCCAACTTAGTCTCCAAGGACAGAGCTATGGATGGCGGCCGCCGGGGTCAGCTGCTGGCTCCAGTGGCTACAGTGCTGCTTCGGGGGTCTTAGGTTTGATTTCTACGTAGACCAGGAAGCTTTGTTCTGCTCCACACCTGGGCCACGGCCTCTCACAGCCTGAGCCCCTGGGGGCCACACGGCAGGGGCGACGGAAGAAGCCTAAAGACACAAAAAGTTGGCTTGTGAGCAATGCCAACAAGAAGGAAGACAATGGCCTGTTTTGCCAAGTGAGTGGCTCTGGGAGAGAGGGACGCTGGACGTGAGTTTAGAAACTGGCCGCCTTCTCCCAGTGCCCCTGATGCCTCAGGCTGGTGCCTCCCACCCAGGACCCACCTCGAGCCCAGCCTTCGCCCCCAGGGAGGCCCACGTGCCTCCCACCCAGGACCCACCTCTCCCTTTTCGTTTTGAATGAGTCGGTTGAATTCTTTGCCTTCTAAGCACAGGAAGTCATCGCCAGGTGTCAGGATGCCACATTTGGTGGCGATGGCTCGGGCTGTGTTGACATTGTCCCCGGTCACCATTCTGACAGTGATGCCAGCTTGCTTGCATTTGGCGATAGCTTCTGGGACCTGTCGGGGAGTGAGGAAAGGAGAGGTGGAGGTGGCAGCAGTGGCCTCTGGTGCCTCCAGTGTGGACAGCAGAGAGGCCGCGGACACGCACTGCCCCGGGCATGGGCTAAGTTTGGGTACTGCTACATCCGGGGTTTCCTCACTTCCATCCACCCACGACGGTCACATTGGGATGGGCCCTCTTGTGCCAGGAGATGAAGGGGAAGTTTGCGGGGCAGGGGTACAAGCTCACCCTTGCACTTACAATCCGGGCTCCTCGGCAGGGCAGAGATGGCATCGGAGACCACCCAGCAGCTATCTGTCCCACACCCTGACCCACTGAGCCATGTTCACCCCCTCAACCCTTTGCACGATCCCCTCTCACATCTCTGGGCCACGCCAGCGAGGCTCCGTCTGCCTGAACCTGCCGGCAGCCCAGACGTCATCAGCTCCCTAGGAGCCCGGAGAGCGCTCAGCGCCCAGGGGATGTGCACCACAGGGGTGTTGGCTAAAAGGTGGTGGCAGAAGTCAAGGCTGGTGTTCCAGCTGATCGCACCAATGGCGTGTCCGCTGATAGCTCCACTTCTCCCTGACTCGCACACCATAAACCCCAGAGTGCTGCCTCCTATCACCCACCACCCCAGAGCAGCTCTGGGGAACTGGAAGCCCCGAAACACCTCCTGTTGTGGGCGAGAGGCAGCCGATCACCCGCATCTTGCTTCCCACTAGGTCACGGCTGGGCCTGCACATGGTCCCCACCACCCTGCCCCAGGCCAGGCCAGCGCCTCACCTCTGGGCGCACGGGGTCCTCGATGCCCACGACGGCGATGCAGGTGAGCTCGGTGAGGACCTCGGCCTCGTTGTCCCAGGAGGTCTCAGTGTCGTCGAAGTCCCGGTAGGCTATGCAGATGGTGCGTAGCTCCTCGCAGGCCATGGGTTCGATGACGCTGCACACCATGTCGTCGCGGTCCTTATTCTTGAACGGGACCGCCTCCCCCTTCTTGTCCAGGATCCGATTGCACCTGGGGAGGCACAGGGTCAGGAGGCGGGCCCCGCCCCCCACCCCCACCCCAGGCTGCTGCCATCCTCGCCAGGCGCTCTGGCCGCTCGGCTTTATTCCTAATGACACCGTTTCATGGCCAAAGAGCTCCTCTAGCCGCCACCCTCTTTTCAAGGCGTCCAGGATGCGTGTGTGTGGGGCAGTGCCCGGGGGGCAGGAGCTGTGACTCTCCCACGTCATCTGTGCTCTTGTTTTTTTGTTCAAAGATTTATTTATTTATTTGAAAAGCAGAGTTAGAGAGAGGCAGTGGTGGGGTGGGGACAGTTTGTGGGGGTGGAGAGGAAGTCTGGTTCACTCCCTAAATGGCCACAATGACTGGAGCTGTGTGGATCCAAAGTCAGGAGCCAGGAGCTTCTTCCAGGCCAGGTCTCCCACGTGGGTGCAGGGGCCCAGGGACTTGGGCCATCTTCTACTGCTATCCCAGGCCATAGCAGAGAGCTGGATTGGAAGTGGAGCAGCCGGGTCTCGAACCAGCGCCCATATGGGATGCCGGCACTTCAGGTGGGTGGCTTTACCCTCTATGCCACAACACCAGTGCCGTCACCCATTCTTACTATACGGGAGGGCACATCTGAGTCGCCAGGGGATCATCTGCTCTTTGGAACCTCTTAAAACCACCCCGACTTGTTCAGTTCCTGCTATTAGAAGACTGCTCGGTGCTTAGGGGGCTGCTGCATGAGGACATGTGTGTGAAGAGAAGGTGCCCGAAGCCCAGTTGGGCACTGGTTGGTTCAGACCAGCTGGCCCCACATCCAAGCAGGGTCAGCTTTCCATGGCTTATGGACATCTGGTCCTTGTCACCTTTTAAGTTAATGCAACTTGGGCCGGTGCTGTGGCGTAGTGGGTAAAGCTGCTGCCTTCAGTGCCAGCATCCCATACAGGCACCGGTTTGAGTCCCAGCTGTTCCTCTTCCGATCCAGCTCTCTGCTGTGTGAAAAGCAGTGGAAGATGGGCCCAGGTGCTTGGGCCCCTACACCTGCGTGGGAGACCCAGAAGAAGCTCCTGGTTCCTGGCTTCAGATTGGCCCAGCTCCGGCTGTTGAGGCCATTCGGGGAGTGAACCAGCGGATGGAAGACCTCTCTGTCTCTCTGCCTCTGTAACTCTGCTTTCCAAATAAATAAATTAATCCTCAAAACAAAACAAAAGCACGCAACTTTTCTTCATCAGAATCACAGACGGGTGTGACAGGGAATGATTTCCACCACAGGCCGTGTGCACGGCACCTCACCGGCACAGTGTCGTTTCGGGAGAGTGTTACTCTCCCTGGGTTCAGATGGCGAGCTGGAGGCTTCGCTGTCTAGGGTGCATCCTGGCCGTGCCACTATTGGCTGTCATCACCCTGAGCAAGCTGAATTCCCCTGGGCCTGTCTTCTCCCCTGCACAGAACAGGTCAGAACTGGCCCTGACCTCACTAGGGTGAGGACTGAAGGCAACGGGCCACGCAGAGTGTGGGAAAGCAACGGCTGGCTGAGTAAATGCCAGCAGGCTAGCGGGGCCATGTGGGGCCGGGGGGAGGGGAGGCAGGGGGCGGTGCTCACTTGCGCAGCATGATCTCCGAGGCGCCCTCGCTGTACCTGCGGAAGCCGCCGGCGGGCTTCCGGACGACCGTGCTCATGGACTTGCGTACACCTTGTAGAGCTGCTCCTCGGGCACCTCGTTGCGCACCGCCTGGTAGTCCTGCTTCAGATCTGCGACAAAGCCCAGCAGAGCACACTCGGTCTTGTTGCCCACCTGCCATGGCAGGCCTCCCTCCTTCTCCGGAGGCTGAGGGAGAGAGAACACACAGGGCACCGTTGAAGACGCCGCCGGCCGGGGCTGGAGCACCGGGCAGGGGAAGACCTCCCTTGCAAATCTTGCACGATCACACCCGGAGTGTGGGGGCGAGGAGTGGGGCAGCGGTGGTGACGGGGGTGGGGGGGTCTTTGTGTTTCCGAGAGCACGCAGCACGGTGGTCAGGAGTGAGCCTGATTCCAGGGCCATCAGGGATTTCCCAGCTGGCTCTAGCTCGTGTCTCGCCCTGTGTGGCTCTTATTCCCACACCCGCCCTTTGCTTCTGAAGTGCGGAATTTACTGATGGGCCCGAGCCTGCTGCCAGCGTGAGTCCCTCCCGAGAGACACTGCCTACACGTGGCTGTTGGGCCCTAGGTTCTGACGCTCCTCGGTGCTCCAGCTACCGCCCCCATGTGGCCCCAGGGAGTCCCCTCCCCGCCCCCTGCCCGCCCCCAACCCCGAGTGTGCACATGGAGGAAGGACTTACCAGGATCTTGGATGTGTAAGCGCTGTTGATGGCAATGCCGTTGACGATGAGGTCCAGGACCTTGGGCAGGAAGACGTCGGGGCTGGGCACCTGGTGGTAGTGGGTGCCCCCAACGTAGGCCTGCACCACGGTCATGTGGTTCATGGTCAGCGTGCCGGTCTTGTCGGAGCAGATGGCCGTGGCATTGCCCATCGTCTCACAGGCGTCCAGGTGCCACACCAGGTTGTTGTCTTTCATCATTTTCTGCAAAGGGGAAGAGACGGGAGGTGGCTGACCGGACTCTCCCGGATACAGACCCAGGGGCGCTGCCTGGCCAGGTTCCCGCCCGGAAACCTGTTGACTCTCTTAGGATCCTGCTGGGTTATTTACACGCTGATGCAACCAACTGAGACGCCCACTGTGGCAGAGGGCCAGGGAAGTCCTTGCGAGCCGGGGTCCTCCCACCAGGGGCTCACGACTTCCTCCCTTTGTGTCCAGTCGGCCCTGCCGCACCTTTACAGAGTAGGCCAGGGAGATGGTGACGGCCAGCGCAGCCTCTCGGGCACGGCCACCACCAGCGCGGTGACGCCGATGATGAAGAACTTGACGAAGTACTGGATATAGACAGGGGTGCGCTCGGCAAGCCACGGTCTGCGCTGGATCACGAAGTTGTCGATCACGAAGTACAGGATCAGGATGACGACGGTCACGGCGGACATGATGAGACCTGTGCGGGGAGACGGGTCACGGGAGGCTCCAGGGCGCCGGCGCCAGCCGCAGCCTCGGCTGCCACTTCAAGGACATCACAGCGGGAGGGGGAGGCCCCCGCTCTAAAAGACACAGGCTCCTGTCTCAGCGCTGGTGGCTTGTGTTCTCTGGCCACGCTCCTCGCTCAAATACGGGGCTTGGTCTGCCTCCTGGAGCAGCCTTCCACAGGACCCACTCCACCTGACCTGAGACCGCCACACTTCCCCTAACAACGTGCTGACCGTGTCTGTCCACTGCCTGGCAGCTCGGCGACTCCGACTTCTCCCCCACCTGCCTGTGAGTGCTGGGGTGCTAGCCCATTCCCGGTGCAAACGAAGCCCTCGGGACGGTGCCATTGACCAAGCAAACGTTCGTACAGCGCCCACCCGCGGCCAGGCCAGGCCCTCCCTGCAGCTCTGGGACGCAGGTGACTGTTAGCCCCTTTTTAAAGAAAGTAAGGCTGGATGGTCTGCCGTACTGATGCTGGTGAGTGACGGTTTCCCGGGATGTGGGTGGCCCCAAGCCCACAGGGATGGTTGATCACCTCGCACACGGAGGTCCCTGCAAGAACTCGCTGAGGGTCAGCCAGCAGCTGGCCGCTCTGAGCGCCGGAGGGGCCACCATCAGGGCCCACTTGTGCCCGGCGGGGGCACAGATCTGGGGAACGCTCTGCTGTAAACCGTGCTGGGTCTGGGCTCTACTGTCCCGAGCCCTGACGGGACTCCGGGGCCCCAGAGCAGGGCTCGGGTGAGCAGTTCGACTCCAGCACATTCCTGGTACCCTGCTGGGTTAGGGAGGGTGCAGAGTTTCGGGGGGGGGGTGCTTGCTCTGCAAGGGGTGGGAGGCACAGCACCTGCCCACTCTATTCCTGGCCATGATTGAGTTTCGTCCCTGGAGAAGAATAAGCCTGTGCCGGGCTCAGTGATGTCCTGCCGTTCGTCTCATCCACGGCAGTCAGAACCACAGCGCCAGGACAAAAGGAGGGGTGAGGCCGGGACCGCGCAACAGAACCTCCCATGATGCTTAGCACGCTTTCTCTTTGCGCTGTTGGCTATGTGCGACCACTGGCCAAGTGAAACGTGGCCTACTGTGACCGAGGGACTGAGCTTTTGCCTTTTTCATTTTAATCCATCCCAGTGGACATAGTCACAGGTGGCTGGTGGCTGCCGCGGCCTATGCCACGGGTCCAGTGGAACATGGCTCCCCAGGCTCATGCAGAAGCTTAAACCCTGAAGCCTCACGTAAGCAGTGAACGGGTCACTGATGATGGGGGCCCAGCAGGTGGGGGCCACCCGGGAGGGAGTTCTCAGGGGCAGGGTTGGTTATCTCAGCCCAGTCGGCCCAGCTTCTCGGCTCACCACGTGACCGCACCTGCACACCCACTCTGCCCCGGCCTGCCTCCCCCTGACCTTGAGCTGTGACCCTCCAAACTGTGAGATCCGCCGCCTCCTGCCCCACACGCTGCTCTCGGTGAGTCACACAAAGCTGACCCGGTGTGCCTGGTGAGCCAGCAGCATGGGGAGGCCCGGCGGGTGAAGGCAGACCCGCTGCACGGTGCCTCAACGAGAGCCTCATGTGAACAGCACACACAGAGGTGTGCCCGATGGGAGGGCGGGCTCAGAAAACGAACTCCTTCTGCTCCCTCCCCCCACTGGCCCTGCCCCCCACTGCTGAAAGAAGGTGGGGGGACAGAGGCAGAGAGCGCACACACAGGGCTGGTGTGGGGGAAGCCACCTGCTCACCCTGCACTCAGAAGTGCATTAGGCGACCTCCGGACAGGGCCTCTCCGACCCTGCCCTCTTCCTCTAGCATGTCCGCTGCCCCGGGCTCTGCCACGTGCCGCGGCTGCTGCTCGAGGGAATGGCCGAACTTCGGCCCACGGCAGCCTCTCCTCGCCTTCGGGACGTGGAAGCCAACACAGGGCAGGAGAGCAGGCATCTGCCTGCCTTCCCCTGAGGGCCACTGGCCTCACACACGGGGAGACGCTGCTCTCTCAGAAAGCCCAGGGGGTGTCCGAGGCGTGGCAGAGACAGGGCCCCAGCCAGCCAGACCCCACCCGGCTCACCGGCTTTCCCGATCTGGTTGGCCAGGCGCGTCAGCTTGCCCTGCAGCACCGAATTCTCCTTCTTGTGCACCTTGCTGGCCTTCTTGTCCTTGTCCTCGTTGTCGGCCCCCTCCTGGCTGTTGAGTGGCTGGATCTCCAGGGCCACACCGTCCTGGTCCTTGCTAGGGTGCACAAACAGGACACGTGAGCGGGCAGGGGAGCAGCACGGAGCAAGGGGCAGGCAGGCAGGAAGGGAGCAGCCCCCAGTGTCCTGACATCTGCTCTGACCACGCCTGGCCTGTGCGGCCTGTGCTGGACACGGAACCTGCCGTCAACCCCCTGTTAGGGCCCGGGGGTGAGCGTCTAAGCACTGGAGCGGGGGTGCTTGAGGGTCCTGGATTTCCTTTCCAGAAGCAGCTTCCTGGCAGCCCCTCGGAGCCCCAGGCCAGGTTGAGTCCAGCAAGGCCATGCATTGCGGCCCTGAGTGCCGATGCCAGTAGCCATCCTGCCTGGAACCCAGGGCTTAACATCTCAGACCTTGGATTATCTTCCAGCTCCTCGTATGAGCAGATGGAGGGGGGAAGGAGGACCCTTCCCTGCCCTGCCTGACCAAGCCCCCCCCGGGGGTGTCCGTGTTTTGGGGGAGAGGGAAGTCGCTGGTGTGAGGGGTGTTCCTGGAGTAAGAGAAAGCCGGGACTAAGATGGACGCGGAAATAAATGCACTTTTGCTTTTAAAAGAAGAGCAAAGGAAAACCAGCAATGACGGATGGCCGTGTTCGGCCCTGGTTCTCCAAAGCAATGCTTTTTATTTCTAAAGACGACGGTGACGTGGGGCACAGAGGAAAGCAACCCCGCCCCTGGCGCTGTGGTCCCTGCGTGGCTCAGCCCGCACTGACGCCAACCCGCCCGACACGTTGTCACGCCCACACACACCACGGAGACACGGTGCAAACACGGCGACCGTATAGAGACACACAGCGGACTAGGAGGAAGACGGCCTGGAGAGAACGCAGAGCGAGGTGGAGGGAGGCTCTCGCCCAGCGCCCCTCGGAGACCAGCAGAGAAGCCCCCGGTGAGGAAGCCATCAAGAGGAGGGTGCAGGGACTTCCCACCCCGACTCCCTCCACCGGGAGGACCCTGGAAGTCTCCCGACTCCAAAAGGATGGCCCTTGGTGTTTTTAAAAAAAATCCAGCCAAGGGCGATGAAGCAGAGTTAGGCACCCGGGAAAGAGCAGATCCTCCCGGTGCCAGGTGAGACCTCGACGTGAGGCTCCAGGAGCCAACAGAGGGCGCTCTTGCCGCATCTTAGATTGAGCCTGGGCGCCTCCCCACCCCATCTCTGCACCTTCCTCTGGGTGAGGCGTCCGGGCCGCAGCAGCAGGTAACAGGTGTATGAAGAGGGGAAGGGAGAAGGCGGATGGCCTGAGAGGTCTGGTTTGAGTGTGGACAGGTAGAAATGGCAGATGAGTGTGTGGAGAGGTTACCTTTGTTGCGATTTTCAGGGACTCCTTGTTTTTTACCTGTTTGAACAAGAAAGAACAAAGTGGGGTGGAGACCCAAAGTGGCCAGGAAGAGATCTGCTGTCCAGCCGGCTGGCCTTGCTCCGAGCCCAGAAAGGCGCCAGCCACGGGGCTGGGGGGAAGATGGGTCACAGCCGGGCCTTCGTTTGATCCCCATGGACGCGGCGGCTGTCCCGGAGCCTGGGGACACTGACCAGCAAGGTCACAGCCCAGCCACCTGCTCCGGGAGTGTGCCCGGGCTGAGTCGCACCGCCTGGGAAAACGCGGGCGGCAGGGTGTCGGGGAGAGGGGTGTGAGCGAGCGGTCTGCGCGGATGGTGGCGGCCCGGGGGGTGGGGGGTAAGGGTGCAGGAAGCTTCCTCCTTATCCGTGTGGTGGGTGCAGGAAGACATGGTCTCTCTGGAAAGCAGTGGGCTGCCCTGAGCGGCTCCGGCCTCTGCCCGAGAGAACTCTTCCTCCTCCTGCGATTCCTTCCCAGACCGGCCTAACCTCGCGGGGCCTCTGCGTCCGCTCTCCCACTGACAGCCGCTGGATCGCCCTGCCCGCCCCAGGGAGACAGCGCGGGCAGGAGGACGACGCGGGGTGGGTGCTGGGCCCACAGCGCCTGGCCGGCTCACCTGGGCAGGCTCGAGCACCCGTCCCTTTCCGACCCAGCCAAGGCCCGACGGCAGCCTGCCCTGGGCGCCCAGCGCCAGGAGCTGGCGTCCATCAGAGCGGGGCTCTTCCCGCCAGGCGTCCGTGGAGATGAGCCCCTCACTCTGAGCCCCCCTCCCCCGGGAGGCCCCTTACCTTTCTTCTTCTTCTCTTCCTCGATGATCCCGGTCTGCGAGTTGACCGGCGGTCACCACCATCCGGCCAGAGCCTTCCATGACGTGGGTCCCTACATGGGAAGGGAGTTGGGCTTCCAGATCCAGCCGCCACGTGGAACCAGACACTAAGGGCCCACCACGTTAGTAACGCCCACGAGACACAGAACACGCGCAGGAGGCGGGCGGAGGCGACCCTGAGGGCGCGGGATGGAGCCCCAGGAGGGGGCAGGGTCTGGACCCGCCCCAGGCAGGGGCCCTACCTGAGGGCAGCATGGGGTCTTTGTCCAGGGACTTCCGGACGTGGTGGTCAGATGTTGCCAGTTCTTTTTTCAACAATGTTGCAGTGGATTAGTTTCTGAGAGGAGCAGCGTGGTGGAGGCAAGAGGCGCGGAGTCACCACACAGACCCCGGGAGTCGGGTGAAAGCAGGTTTGAGGCGAGCAGCCTGCAGCAGACTCGTTTATTTCAGTTGGTACAACATATGTATAAATACACATACATAGTGTGTATCTGTGCAATGTAATGTACATGCATCTGGTATAATATAGTAAGTGTTCAATGTTAATTTTACTGCGCTGCAAATTACACTTGTTTGGAGGAAAACTTGTTTTTGTTAAATGTTTTTGTTTTTGTTTTTTTTTTTTTTTTTTTTTGACAGGCAGAGTGGACAGTGAGAGAAAGAGACAGAGAGAAAGGTCTTCCTTTTTGGTTGGTTCACCCTCCAATTGCTGCTGCGGCCGGCGCATCGCGCTGATCCGAAGCCAGGAGCCAGGTGCTTCTCCTGGTCTCCCATGGGGTGCAGGGCCCAAGCACCTGGGCCATCCTCCACTGCACTCCCAGGCCATAGCAGACCAGGACTAGAACCCGGTTTGCAGGCGCTGCAAGGCGGAGGATTAGCCTATTGAGCCACGGCCGGCATAACATCTTATATAGCCAAGACTAGCCAATCTAGTCAAGGGGCGGTCTATGCCCCAACCAATCACAACCTGTTGCCAGGCAGCTTCCAAAGCCATCCAATCACAGCCTGTTGCCAGGCAGTTTCCAAAGCCATCTAATCACACACAGCCTGTTGCCAGGCAGTTTCCAAAGCCATCCAATCACAGCCTGTTGCCAGGCAATTTCAAATCCATCCAATCACAGCCTGTTGCCAGGCAGTTTCAAATCCATCCAATCACAGCCTGTTGCCAGGTAGTTTCCAAAGTCGTCCAATCACAGCCTGTTGCCAGGTGGGTTTCAAAGCCATTCCTGAGTAACTGCCTCTCGCTTGCCAGTGGCCACCTTGGCATGGCCTTCTCATTCCACCACAGTCGGACTCCCGGGTGAGAGCTCTCGTCAATCTTCAGGTCATTCCCCTGGATCAGGACTCCGCGGGCCGGCAGCAGGTCACCTGGCACGCACAGGGAGCAGTGACGGAGCCGGAGGCGAGGGCGGGGCCGCCCCCAGCGCCTGCACGCCCGCTCAGCCCTCCGATCACCAGGGAGCACCGGAGCCCCTCAGAGCCAGCTTCAGCTCTGTGCAGAGCAGGACAAGACCCCTGCCTGCAGTGGGCGACCCCAGCTCCCGCCGCTCTCCCTATACCTTCCCAGGCCTGAATCTCACGGCGCTGGCCCCCTCGCTAGAGTGTTTTTAAGTCTGCACTACTTGAAAACCCTGAGTAGCTGGCTTTTTTAGTCTCAAGTCTTAGATATTTGAGGCCAAAAGAAAACCCAAGGAGCTCACCATCATGTAATTTCCCAGGCCGAGTCCCCTAGATATTGACTTCTCTCTATCGTTTGGAGTTTTCTGGTGTTTGTTTTGTATGTAATGCCCAGGGTTTTTAGTTATAAGTAGCAGAATGAATAAATAGGCGAAAGTTTATTTACTTGATTTTTCTGGAAGAAGTCACCATTTTTTTAAAATTGTTAAGTGATCAAAAAAGAGGTCAAAAGAAGAATAAAATTTCATGCCACATGAGATTTTATAAAATTCAGAATTCAGTGTTTATAAAAATTTTGAAGAAATATAGTTCCATACATTAATTTACAAATTGTCTCCAGCTGCTTTTGTGCCAGAGTGGCTGAGATGGAATAATGATATCAGACACTACGTGGCACACAAAGCCTAAATATTTATTATCTGATCTCTTACATTAAGTTTGCTGAGCCCTGGCTTGTATTGTGGATAGAATTATTAATCTCTTATTAACAGAGCTTAAACTTCTTATTTGGTGTAGCATTATTAAGCCTTTTTACTGTAATGTAAATGTAAACAATATTATCTAAAAACTAAAAACAGGAAGAAAAGGTGAGACAGGGAGTGTCGGGAAGAGACAGGGGAGGGATGGAGGGAATATCATTGTATTATTAGAATTATATCTATGAAAAATATTGAATCTGTTAAAACTAATTACAATTTTAAAATAAAATTCTAACAACAAAAAATAAAAAATATTTTATTAACAGAGCTGAGTGTGGTCATTCTCAATCAAACTATGAATTCAGACAGACTCTACTCTGTTTTAGGCCCTGGTGGATGCAGATTTGATTATGGTCAGAAAACTACCTAGTACCCATCTTTGATTTGCAACAAAATTTATTTCATCAATTCTAAGTACTAATCCCTCCCACACACATTTTAACCTTTCTGATCCCCCATCAACACTTTGTCATAGTTTAATTGGTAAATAGTTTTGTTCTTTTTTAGTGATATGTAAATTAATATGTACTTTATAATTGATGATGTCTTAGATTAACTGGAAACTGTAATTCATTCAGAACAATAGTGAATATATTCTTGCTTTGTTAGAAACATATGATTTTGGGTAAATGTACCCACATCCACATGAGAGTGCCAGTACCGAATCTTGACTCTAGCTTCCTGCTATTGCAGGGGAAGCAGCAGTAATGGTTCAAGTGATTGGGTTTCTGCCTCCCATGTGGGAAACCTGGATTGAGATCCTGCCTCCCAGCTTCTGCCTGTCCCAGGACTGGCTGTTGAGGGCATCCGGGGAGTGAATCTACAGATGGGCTCACTCTCTCTTTCTGTGTGTGTGTGTCTGTCTGTCTCTGTGCCTTGAAATTGATATGATATACGTACACACACACACATATACACATAGTTTTTAGTCTTTCTCTTTTTTTTGAAAGGCAGAGTGGACAGTGAGAGAGAGAGAGAGAGAGAAAGGTCTTCCTTTGCCGTTGGTTCATCCTCCAATGGCCGCTGCGGCCGGCGTGCTGCGGCAGGCGCATTGCACTGATCCGAAGCCAGGAGCCAGGTGCTTCTGCTGGTCTCCCATGCAGGTGCAGGGCCCAGGCACTTGGGCCATCCTCCACTGCACTCCCGGGCCACAGCAGAGAGCTGGACTGGAAGAGGAGCAACCAGGACAGAATCCGGCACCCCGACCAGGACTAGAACCCGGTTTGCCAGCGCCGCAGGCGGAGGATTAGCCTATTAAGCCGCGGTGCCGGCCAGCTTTTAGTCTTAAACCATGAGATACTTGTTTTTTGTCAAATAACTTTTCCTTAGACATTGATTTCAAATTAACTCTTTTTACTTTTGGTTAGGGAAAAAGCTTTTTTATTCATTGTTTTTTCAATTAAAATTTTTCTGTGAAAATTTGCTACCAATACTCTTACATATTTTTCTTCTGTCAAAATGTTTCTCAAGAAGCCTGAATGTGTCAAAAATATTCTTACTATGATTATAAATGTTTTTATATATTTGTAACTTCTGTTGGCATGTTAGAACGGTATAACCAAGGTTGTCGATATCTTAATGTTAATCGGTTCTAATACTAAGTCTCATAAATAGCAAGTCTACAACAGAATTTGGAAGGCATGATGCAAGCAGGAAAAATAACTACCCCAAACCAATGGAACTATTTCCTGCTTATCTAACCTTTCAAGGGCACTTAGCAGTTAGAAGAAGATCATAAGCACAGACAGATTTCATGATTAGAAGGTTCATTAGTAAGAAAGTACAGAATACTAATCACAAGACTTTCATTTGCACTGACAAGGTCTGACCTAGCTAGCATTCATCAGTGACAGTGGAATTGCTCCCTGGTGGTATCAGCCACAGGGAAAGCAGAGAAAACATGTTCTTCATGAAAGAATTCATCAAAAGTAAGCAGGACTGCATCACACACCATTGCTTCCAGAGCTCCCCAGAGAGTAGCTAGCATCTTCTCTGAATCCGTTTGTTTGGTCTGTAAAATTCAAAATGCTCAGGGGAACTTTGCATGTTAAAGTAAGTTTAAACTTTGGAACCCTGGAACAACCATCACACGAATCTGAACCTTAAACAATCTAATGGACCATGAGTAGGTGCTTTGGTCAATTCAAATCCATAGCTATAGGTAGCAATCATGGATGACATAAGTAAATATTTCCATTTAAATATTGTGACACCAAAAAGATTACTATGTTACTATTAATTGAAATTACAAATTTTAAATCTGGAAGGGGATTTTTATATTTCAATTATACATGTAAATTTAATGACTCTTTTTTCAAATGTGATAATTTTCAACATCATCTAAAAGCATTTTACAAAGAATAATTGAGTTGTGCTTGGTGTTGTACAGGACAAAACCAAGCACTGTCAGTTTTCCCATCTGCAGAGAACTTACTGCTAATTTGTAATGAATTAGCAAATATACAAAGTAAGAGATAACTGAGTAGAAGCACAAATTTCTCAGACTAGATAATTAATCTCTTCTGAAAAAGAGCATTCTGTCTTTCTCTCTTCATTTTTCTCTCCTTCTTTATAAATAACTATTATAGTTATAAATCTCAAAGTTTAAAAAGAAAAGTGTGTATGTTACAGATCAAACAGGGTTTGCCTCCACAAACTCATGCAGACATTGAAACCTCAAAGTCTAACTTAGTGGTTGAAGGATTAGGGTAGCAGCTTGATCCAATTGTGGTGTCTGATGGTGGAGCCTTTGACAAGTGATTGAATTGGACTAGTTTGACAGGTCGAAGCCCTGTGATGGTCTCATGGTGGCTTTCAAAAGAGAGAGACATGAATATGGAGGAAGTGTGTGTTCCTTGTGCTTCTCTGCTTCCTAGCTCACATGTGAACATCCACCTGTCTCTCTACCATCCCCAGCC